ATGCTCTTTCAACGCCGGGAAGACCGCTGTCTTTAGTTCTACTTCAGGATGGGCAGCGGTTTCCTCTCCATCAAGAACCATACACGCACTTTTGGACGGGGACAGTGTGAGGACAAGATGTAGCTACTAGTGTCTCCTGGCTTATATGGTGAATCCTGGTGGATTCGCCACTGGAAGACTTAGATTTAATATGGTTTACAAGATTAGCATTCTAGTTGTTGCGCCCAGAGATTGAGTTACTGTTGTCTGGGGGGGGTGGGGGGGAGAACCATATACACTCTGATGGTGACAGCATTTCTGGGACTGAGGGGGAGGGGCCTCACCTTTCAGAGCCTCATTCACGTAATTCTTAATATAATACATCCTCAGTGAGTCTTGCTCGGCGTGGGGATCGTCATCGATGCCATTGGCTGTCACATACATCGGGAGGTCTCCGTACTTGAACCTTAGCCAGTTGAGCACTTTGCGCAGCCCCCAAGGCACCACTGCCACCTGACTGGGAGAGTTGAGCCATGTGATGTCAGTCATCTCCTGCACCTCCAGGTAATCGTTGTATTTCATCGGATCCTCCTTTTCCCAGTCTACCAGGATGGTGGTGTAATGGCTCACCGCCAGGAAGTCAAAAGAACCCTGGATTAGCTTTTTTTCCTCGTCGGTGAAATAGGGCAAAAGAAAATTGTTTTTTTGGTTCAGCCAGTCCCTCATCACTCGTGGATAATCTCCGGAGCCGAAAATAGGCTCTGCCAACCAGCCTATATCAAATTCCAAAACTCTCTCGGCCACTTCTTTGTCCTTTTGAGAGAAAGGGCAGGCCGGTTCGATCCAGTCAGCCTGCAAGGCGATGGATATTTTGCCTTTCTGAGCCGCCCTAAACTTGTCATCGTACAGGTGCCAAGCCAAGGCATGAGCTTTCAGAAGGTGGTGTCCGGCACGGTAGGTCATGTTCCTTGTGTTTGGCTCGTTCATGGTGATCCAGAACTTGACCCAGTGGCCCAGCTCTTTAAAGCACAGGTTTGCGTAGTCTGCAAACGCCAGGGCAGTGTGCGGGTTCTCCCAGGCTCCATGTTTTGCAAGGGCATGTGGCAGGCCTTGGTGCGGGACTGCTGGTTGCCACAGGGCCACCACTGGAGTGATGTTGGCGTGCACCAGCTCGCTGACCATGCAGCGGTAGAAGTGCAGCACCGTGTGGTTCACTTGGGTCTGGTTACCCAAAGGTAAGATCAGGGCCCAGTCCAGGGAGAAGCGAAAGTGGGTGACCCGCATTTCTCGAAGTAAGGCTATCTGAGGCCGGATTGCGGAGAAATCAACACAGTAAGGTTTTCTCTTCTTGGCTACAACCCCGTCTACTTTAATAAGTCTCTTACTGTGATGCACATCCCACAGATAGACATTCGGGTCAGTAAACTGAGAGAGAGTGGTGTCCACCTACAAAGAACCGAGCAACTGTTAGCTACCTGGGCAGACCCGAAAAATGCAGGCATAACTTCAACAACTCTAGCAAGCAAGAGGTGCACAGTTTGGCTCTCTCCACTTGAATGCTTAAACGGCTGTTCCCAAGAAAGAGAACATTCCCCTTAAAAAACAAAACAAAACAAACAAAAATACCCAATGCATGTGTATATTACCCATAGTTCTTGTTAATTCAAACTCTTAGATTAAGATATTTTTAAATATGAACGTTGTCACTTCAGATAAAAGACACTACTGATTTCTATTCACAGACAGTATGTAAAATACAAGCAGAGAATATTTTATTGTATAACTTCAATTAAAAAAATTAAGTAGCCTCAGCTGGTCTCTCAGCCTCTTGAATGCTGAGATTACAGGTATGTATCCCTGCAACTGGTATAGATGTTGTGCTTTTAATGTAAGAAGCCACAAATGATATAACACTGATTTCTTTCTTTCTTTCTTTCTTTCTTTCCTTCTTTCTTTCTTTCTTTCTTTCTTTCTTTCTTTCTTTCTTTGTTTTTGTTTTTGTTTTTGTTTTTCGAGACAGGGTTTCTCTGTGTATCCCTGGCTATCCTGAAACTCACTCTGTAACCAGGCTGGCCTCGAACTCAGAAATCCACCTTCCTCTGCCTCCCAAGTGCTGGGATTAAAGGTGTGTGCCACCACTGCCCTGCTTCTATTTATTTTTAAAGGTATATTTATTTTAGTTTATGTGTATGATTGTTTGCCTACATGCATGCATGTGCACCACGTGTGTGCAATTGCCATAGAGGCCAGAAGAGGGCATCAGATCCTTTGGAACTGGAATTACAGATGGCTGTGAGCTACCATGTGGGTACTGGGAACCAAATAGGGTCCTCTGCAAAAGCATTCAGTGCTTTTAACCACTGAGTCATCTCTCCAGTCCTAAGACTGCTTTTAAGCAAACAAAAACAAAATTGTTTTTTTTTTTTTAAAAAAATAAGAAATTTAGAAAATTTGCTCATGAGTAGTTTGAAGTCAGAAAACAAAGTGACATGTGTTACCAAACTGCTTGCTACAATTACAATCTGTATTGAGGCATGTTTCGGTTTTCAAGTATGTGTAACTCTTGCCTTTTTTTGGCTTGAGAGAAAACTTAGATAACACAGCTGGCCAGTGGTGGCACATGCTTTTAATCTTGGCACTCTAGAGGCAGAGGCAGAGTTCAAGGACAGCCTGGTCTACAGAGTGAGTTCTAAGACAGCCAGAGCTACACAGAGAAACCTCAGAAAAACCAAAACCAACAACAACCCAAACAAAAAAAACAAAAACCAAAACTTTGATAACATAACGTGATGATTTAAAAGTACACACAGAGACAGTACTGTCATTGATCACAGGGGAACTTTTCAAGTGTGGCTTTACGGTTTGACTCTTCTCATCCATGAAATATGTAAGCCTCCAAAACTGAAGACAGTCTCTAGGAAATGTAGGCCAAGTGTGGGCGCAGCATCAGAAAATCTGCTTGCACAGAAAGGGACAGCCCACCTCACAGTGGCAAGCTAAGCTGGGCTTTGCTCTGAAATAGTCCTGTGAGAACAGGTGCCTCCATCTGCCCTTCCCATAAAAGAAGGGAGTCTGCTGAAGCCTGTTCTTGAATCTCCAGGCCAGGGTGTAAGCATGTTGTTCTCCAAGGGGCAAGGCAAGTGTTGTGTTTACAAAGGAGAGCAGTAAAATAAATAAATAAATAAATAAATAAATAAATAAATAAATAAATAAGGGTCTGAGGGAAACTGCCTTTCTGGAGACCCATGGCTCACCCACGCACATTTCTGATGCTGAGGGAATTCCTCAGAAGTCCTCTTCCACCGCCCAGCGCCCACAAATGCTTTACAGTCTCAGCTTTGCAAGAGAAAATACTTACTTACCTGCATAGTCTTTGAAGGTTCAAGTCTTCAGAGCCATAGGCAACTCTTTTTTTTTTTTTTTTTTTTTTTTTTTTTTTTTCGAGACAGGGTTTCTCTGTTTAGCCCTGGCTGTCCTGGAACTCACTCTGTAGACCAGGCTAGCCTCGAACTCTCGAACTCAGAAATCCGCCTGCCTCTGCCTCCCAAGTGCTGGGACTAAAGGCGTGCGCCACCACCGCCCGCCTAGAGGCAACTCTTTTGGATTATTTTTAGTCAACTCTGAATGAACTAAATTCATAACTTCTCTACCAGAACCATCCCAGAATAACAGTTTTTATTGAGTCTAACTAAAAACAAGTATGAAAGACCGTGTAGGATTGCGGATGGTGGGATCAGTTCTCCAAACTAGGAAAGCCGTAGAAATGAGCGTGCAGGCAAAAAAAGTCCCCCCTAACTTACAGCAGTTTACTGCCTTACGTTTTACGAAAAAGTAAGAATAGGCATTTGAGGAAGGATGAGTAAAAAACACATATTTAATCTGTTATTGATAAAAGTTTCTCCTCAGAGAGGTGGACAACCATGACATGCCATGTTGTGTGTAATCTGCTTCACTTTGGTCAACTAACACCACCAGTGGTTATGAACAAACAAACTTAGGAGCTGGGACACAGAGTCTGAACAAAGTGACCCCCATGTGAATATGTGAATGTACCCAGCTACAAACTTCTAACAGGTGGTGTGTAGCTAGGGGGATACACACACACACACACACACACACACACACACACTCACACACACACACACACACACACACACACACTGTTTTTTGTTTTTTAAGACAGGGTTTCTCTGTGTAGCCCTGGCTGCTTTGAAACTTGCTCTATAGACCAGGCTGGCCTCAAACTCACAAAGATCCTCCTGCCTCTGCCTTCCAAGCGCTGGGATCAAAGGCGTGCTCCACTACCACCTGGCTTAGTGGGATAGTTTTAATTATTTGGGTGAAATTTATGCTGCAGCTCTTGAGCATGGAGCACTAACCAGGAGGGAAAAAAGAAACTTTAGGGTTTAAAAAACAAATCACTTCTCAAAGTGTCTTGGTGCACTGAACAGTGGTTAACGTAGAAACTCACAACGCTGGGACCATCTAAGAACAGGAAGGTTGTCAGAGCAGAGGCTGGGGAGGACCAGAGATAGCATCTTTCAGCCATGACAGAATCCATACACTCACGAACTCACAGCATCTGGGGTTGTCTACACAGAGCCAAGGCAGTCAGCATGTTAGCATAAAAAAAGGAAGGAAGGAAGGAAGGAAGGAAGGAAGGAAGGAAGGAAGGAAGGAAGGGAAAAGGGGAGGGAGGGGAGGAGGGAAGGAAGAAGGAAGGGAAGAAGGAAGGAAGGGAAAAAGGGAGGGAGAGAAGGAGGAAAGGAAGAAGGAAGGGAGGAAGGAAGGAAGGAAAAAAGGGAGGGAGGGGAGGAGGAAAGGAAGAAGGAAGGGAGGGAGGAAGGAAGGAAGCAAGGAAGGAAGGAAGGAAGGGAGGGAGGGAGGGAAGGAGATAGATAGAAAGATAGATAGATAGATAGATAGATAGATAGATAGATAGATAGATAGATAGAAAGAAAGATAATGGTTCTTGAGCACCCACCCCTGCATCGATATGGATAGATAACGGCTTCTAGGGCAGGGAGAGCCCATTTTCCTTAAGGATGTAGGCGAGCCACATTCCAGTGGACTGCCCCCACCAGGATTACATGGGCAGTACAAATCACAGGAAAGGTCCATTTGAAGAAGGGTGGGGGACAATGTGAAGTTTGGGGGTTGGGAAGACGTAGATGAGTCTTCTGGAAGAAGTCAGGGGGATAATAGGAGGAGGTAAATATGATCCAAATCCACTATAGAATTCCCAAATAATTAATAAAAATATTCCTTAAGAAAATCAGTTCTTGAGACATTAACATAATAGAATGTAGAAGGGCTGAGTGCTGCTTGTCACAAAGACACCCAGCTCACGCTGAGAGAACAGAGAAGGCATTCTGACTCTGTCAGCCCAGGAGTTGTCTTGAGAAGAGCTCTGAGGACACCGAGGAAAGCCAGCAGTGTAGATAGACAGAAGTAAACCCTAGCTGCAGCCTGTTCCCACCAGGGAGCTTCTGGAGCATTTACAACCATAGCGGGGTTGACAGGGACTTTCGTGTTTGGTTGGGTTCACAGAGGATGCAGAGGGCCTTGAACATGTAACAGGTCAGATACCCTGAGTAGATGATCTCAAAGGACAGTACAGCCAGAGAGAGGGTCTGGGGCCACACTGCATCGCTGACGTCAGATAAGATCCAGCCTTAAGGACTGGATGGTGTGACTCAGTAACAGTGACTAGCAGGTACAAGGCCCTGCAAAATGAATAGATAACAAAATCCAAAACAAAACAAGACTTCTCTCCCCATTCCCTATTCACTGCCATGATTTTGGTTCTGATTGGGATTGCCCTTCTCTTTCAAGCACATCAAACAAAACCCTAGCACTCACTCCCAAAGTGAAGACACAACCCATCTTCAGGGAACAGGGTAAAGGGAAGATGGCTTTCGCACACAGCCCTGCCTTGCGGCACAGATGGAAGTCTGAATACTGACTGTACTTGAAGACACTCGGCAGACTTCAGCTGTTATGCCAAGTAATGTGTATGAGTCGCCAGTGCAGGGACCAGCATGGCCAGCAGGAACCCCTCAAGAGGTAAAGAAATACAACAAAGACCAGGAACCATCTCATCTACTCCTGGCCCCAACAAAGATATGGAGGGAGAGGGTTGTAGGACACATTTATCTTCTTCCTCCTTCTTCAACATCTCCATTTCTACCACGTTAGAGCCTACCTAAACTTCACTGTAGACTCTGACGAATTAGGATAGGAGGTTCCAGATAGCCTTGGACATGGAGGGACATGGAACAGGAACATAATCTCACACTGAGCAGGATGGGGCTGCTGTGGTTGTGTCTATGGCTCTCAGACATCCTTGTGGTGTTGGCTAGCATCCCATCAATTCTAACAAACCTGAGAAAATAGAGGTAAAGAGCCAAGGCTGGTTTGGGCTCATGGCTTTGGATGCTCTGGTCGATAGTCAATGGGCCTCATTGTTTGGGGGACTGTAGTGAACTGGCACACTACAGTGGGGGACACAGAGTATGACAAACTTCTCACATCATGATTAAATGGGGGAAGAAGGAACAGAAAGGGGCTGGAGTTCTACTACTCTTGAAGAAAGAATTTAACTTAGTATAGCAGAAAGCCTTAATTCACAAATACAAGTAGTTAAAAATACAGGTCAGCAAATTCGCTAGCCCAAAGCCGCCATAAAAAATGCAGAGCTGGAGAAACAAAGGTCAATTGAGTGTTCTGGGAATCAGCCGGCTGTAAGAGATAGGGAAGATGCTCAAGGATAAATTCCTTGAGAATGAGAACAATAATGAAACACCCATCTGTTTCCATGATGTTTGACTTAGCCTCCTCTGGAAAAACTCCCACCAAAGGTCCCAAGGACTTTCGAATTAAATTCAGCCAGATGGTCTGTTGGCTCAGATAAGCATTCTCACTGGGTCCCAAGGCCACAGGAACCAGGGACTGTTCCCATGAGATTAGTCAAACCTCTGCACGGGATCTGCTTGCACAAATTGCAGATATTTGAAACAACCAATTGTGTGTGACTGTGCCACAACCTCCTGCTCCCCCCTGGCCTTTGCCTATATTAACCCTAAGCTTTTGGGCCTCTGGGTCGATTCCTCTACCTCCTGTGTGAGGCACGTATCGGCCCGGAGCTCCGACAATAAACCTGACTCTTGTGATTACAGCAAGATGGTCTCTGGAGTATCTTTGGGTCTGCGCCCTCTCAGTGACCCAAGTGAGGGTCACCCTTTGGGGGTCTTTCACTCTCTTCTAGGACATGTCCTTTGTCCTAAAGACCTTTTGCAGTAGATTCCAGCACCTCATTGTTCAACTAGATGTCAATAGCCCCAAGCTGGAAAACAAGACCAGAGCCATTTCAGGCCTCAATACAGCTCCATTCAACATTGCTTACCTATCTTTTGAAGGTAAGGAGAGGAAAGCCCAAAATCACCTCTAGATTGAGCTACATAGTCTAAGAGCCAAAAGAACATCATACATCAACAGGGGCAGAAATACATCAAGGATCGATGATGTACTTTCAAACAAAAATTTTGATATCTACAGGAAATAAAAACTCCATTCATATAAGAAAGTCTCTCCTTGGACCTAAGCATTTTTCTGAATGTTTCTTTTGAAGTTACAACTTGTAGCCATCCTTATGGGCTAGAACAGTGGTTCTCAACCTGTGGGTCACAGCCCTTTGGGGTCAAGGCCATCAGAAAACACAGATATTTACATTACTATAGAAGTAGCAAAATTACAGTCATGAAGTAGGAAGAAAAATAATCATATGATGGGTGGGGTTACCACAACATGAGGAATAGCATTAAAGAGTTACAGTATTAGGAAGGTTGAGAGCCACTGAGCTAGAATCCAACATGCTAAACCTTGAGATCTGACTATAGATACCGAACTTTTTGTCTTCCTCACGAGGGTAATCCAGCAACTCACACAGGGTTTTGTACACAAAAGGCAGCCAGCAAGTGCTTACATAAAGTATTCAGCCAAACCATGAGAAACAAGTCACTTTAAAACTGGGGAAAGTAAAAAATGGTTTTGAGCACTTCCTACACTGATGCTCAGTAAATACTAACTGATCATTTTGGAGCACCTCGGTGCTATCAACAAATCATTGAAACAATGGTTTGCTCTCTCGAGGTGTTTTCTACGAGCCTGGAGTGGGGCATTTACGGTGAGGAGGGATCTGCTAAATGCTCCAGCCACATTCTCAGCAGCATCCCTGAGACTCTCTAGACTTCTGTGTTGAATCTTATTTATGAGAAACGTTAACTTCCTGAGCAGGGATCCCAACCATAATACTAAAGGAGAGTGCCTTGTCTTTGTGTTATCTTAACAGAGCTTACATATTCATGCTTTGGTTTGTTTTCCCTTTGGACCTAACGAAAAGCGCAAGATGTAAATTGAAAGATGTTTGAAGACTGAAGCATTCTGGACTATGTAGTTCACAAGCTCACTAGGGAACCTTGTTTGGCTCAAAGTCCCAATGCTGCAGCTGTACCATGGCAAGAGCTTAATGAGGAAGCATGAGGCTTGCTGATACTGCTGATGGGGTTTGAAGGCTGACTTACTTGAATGTAGTTGTCAACAATTCCCCAAGCAAAGTCACAGGGAAATGTCCCTTCAAGGGGCTGGTTTTCAGGTAAAGGAGGGAAGCCATTATTCTCTATCAGCTTTTGGTAGAACAAGGCCGAAGACTTAGGCAACAGCTCCTTCTCCTGACTCAGAAAGTCGACATAGAAGAGTCCTCGCCGGATGCTGTAGCCCCTGTGCCACTCAAAGCCATCCATGAGGGACCACGCGGTGTACCCAATAACGTTGACCCCATCCAGTCTGATGGCTGCAGAGGGAAGAGAGGACAAGAGCAGTGTCACCCCCGATTTGTGAGCAGTGTCACTGGGCTTTGTATGACTCAAGCAGAGTTGGGATTTCCACTTAAAGAAGCAAAGCAAGGGGCTAGAGAGATGGCTCAGTGTAAAAGCACTGGCTGCTCTTCCAGAGGATCCAGGTTTGGTTCCCAGCACCCACATGGTGGCTCACAACTGTAACTCCAGTGTAAGAGATCCAACGCCCTCTTCTGGCCCCTGTGAGCATTGCATGCATGTGGTATACATACACACATGCAGGCAAAAATGCACAGACATAAAATAAAAATAAATAAAATCTCAAAAAACAAAAATTAAAAGACAGAAACAAGTCAGGTGTAATGCTTCTTGTTTGGTAAACATTTCTTTTTTCTTGTTCACAAAAGGCTCTCACCAAATCTAGAGAACTCCCCCAACCGATGTCTTCAAAGACAGTTTTACCTCCACAGTAGCAGCCTCTCGTTCCCAGAGGTGCTAGAGTGGCTTGTTGTTCCTAACCTGGGCACCTAACATTGTGACTGGTGTCTTCTTTTTCCTGTGCGGTGGATGGACCAAAGGCCTTGGGGTGCCAGGCAAGTATGTTACAGCTAACCCACTTCCCTAGGCTTTAAAGTTCAGTTTATCCAAATCATATGAATATTCTTCTTGCTCTAAAAAAGCACTTTGTTGTTGAAAGAGGGAGCTAGCGGTGGTTATAAATGATCAACATACATCGAATAACTGTATGGACATTTCAGAAAAATTCAAGAAAAGCATGCTATTCAGCTAAAACAAGTGAACTAGAAATAGAGAGAGAGAGAGCGAGACAGTCTGAGACTTTTAATACTGTGTTATACAATCTAGCGGTGTACTCGAGAGACTGTGAGTCCGCTGACCTTAAATATGAATCTTGTTTTGTTCTCTTATCAGAAAATTATCAAGGTTCCTTTTATGGAACTTGAAAATTTTAGTTTCTGAAGAGCCCAAGTGAGAGGAGAGTTGCATAAATACATTCTCTCTGCTGCTTAAATTATCCACATTGTGACAAAAGTTATATAGCCACATTTTGCAGATAGGCTTAAAAGGTATATGTGGTATCGTGTGTGTGTGTGGTGTGTGTGTGTGTATGCTATGTGTGGTGTATGGTATGTGTGATGTGTGTGTGGTGTATGATGTGTATGTGTATATGGTATGGTATATGTGTGGTGCGTGCATATATGATATGTATATGTATGTAATGTGTACATATGGTACAGTGTATGTGGTATGTGATGCTTGTGTATGTCTATATGGTGTGTGTGAAGTGTGCATATATGATATGTATGTGTGTGTAATGTGTGTGTATGGTATGTGGTGTGTATGTATGTGGGGGTGTAGCTGTGTAGGAGGGTGTATGTGGTGTGTGAGGGGGTGTATGTGGTAGTGTGCATTTGTGAATTTTGGCAAAAAAAAAAATGGGCATTTCACTTGAGAGCATACCTTTTAAGGTTTCCATTATGAACTTCTTGAGGTAATACATATATTTGGCATCGTCTCTTTTGGTGGTCCCCGAGACAAACCAGCCATTTTCCACAATAAATATTTGAGGGTGGTTATATTCCAGATCTATCCAAGACAGAAGCTGCCTCAGGCTGGGAGACTCCAGTTGGCGGAACTTCATGTTAGGGTCCAATAGCTGAAAGCTCAAGGTTGGTCCAAAGGAGAGAGCGAAAAAGTCAGCAGTTCCTCTGATGAACCTCTTCTCAGACTCGGTAACGACGGGCAGAAGAGACGAGAGGTTGCTCTTCATGCTCTCTGGGTAGTCGCCATCGATAAATATGGGTTTGGCAAACCAGCCTAGCACAAAGTCAAGAGACTTCTGGCATTCTCTGATGTTATGGTCGGTCATTCTTCGAGGATTGATCCAATGGGAGCTTAAGGCGATAGACACCAGGCCTCCCTGAGTGGGGCGGAAAGAAGTATTGTAGAGATGCCAGATTTTGGCATGAGCCTATGGAGGAAAAAAAAATATGGCAAATTTCTCCCTGATTGAGAGGAAGCATGCAATATTAACTGGATTCCCAGCCCCACTGATGCCTGATTTCTATCTGAGCTAACACGGTGACTAGCACACAATACAACAACCAGCTAAAGCCAGTAAGTTATTTCAAGGAAGGCCACCCTGCAGAGAGCTGCCACCATGATCTGAGAGCTTTCCAGTGTGTTTTAGCAGCCAGTGGAAAAATGTAAAATCATTGTATTGAATGGATAGTTACGATTCACTTTGGAAAAATTAATAAACTAAGAATTTGTTAGAATACTCACTGTTAAGTTATCTTTGGATTATGTGCTTGTTAATTTGTGGGCTTGAGGGGAAAAAAGAACCAATCTCCCATCTGTGGCCATACCAGGAATTTCCAAAGAGGATTATGTGTTTTATCCTAAGAGACTGGGAGTTTCCACCTAGACTCCAGTTGTTGGAGAGTCAAACTGATTGTTTCTCATTTGTCTGTCGCCCCAAAATCCTAACGAGTGTTCTCACAAATCCTGTCTTCTCTGTGAATCAGCCCAAGACATTGAAAGATGAACCTCAGTATCTTGGCCCACCATCCAGAGTGCTGAGACAATGCTGGCTCCTTGAAAGTGCAAGGGACAAGCCAAGAACAAGAGACAACTAGGTACAGCTGTGAAGACACAGGCTGGTGAGCCTGGGCCAGGAGTCCTTTGTAAAGCTGCTTTCCATAGCCAATGCTGTGCTTCCAGAAACCCCAGCTGACCCCTGACTGGTCATCTGTTTCTTTTTCACTTAACAAACATAGAAGCGAATCTGGGTTTTATTTCCTCTTTACCTTTGAACTCCTTGATTAATTCTTCATATTGTCCTACAAATACAAGGGCTGTCTGTTAGCCTTTTAATTCCCCCAACACACATTTGGAAAACTCTCCTCCCATTTGCTGCTTGACTCTGTGTAGTTTCCAGAATGACTGATCCAATTTTCCTCTCACCGCATGAGCCAGAGGATCTTCTGCTCACTACACCAAATATCCTTTTTATTTTCCTCAAATATTTTGTCTCAGCTCAGGCATCTAAGAATGGTCTCCTCAACCATCCTCCAAGTTCAGCAAACTGTTCAACAAAGGAAATTTGTTTGTTTCTCAAGTTGACTTTTTAAAACAATGTGCCTCATTTCGCCAAGTGCAATAATATTTCTTGATCTGTAGCAGCTGTCTGCAAGCTAAGAAAAAAAAAATAAAAATAAACCAGGCCTGCCTGGGCCGGAGAGTGAGGCCTGTCTCCAAACCTTTACAGAGGAAGAGAGGGACGGGGAGGGAGAGAGGAAAACCACACGGAAGATATAGCTCAGAATGCTCATGAAAGGACCGAGATTTACTTAATCTGGGAAACAAACAAAGAACATTAAAGAAAAGAAATGAACCCCCATTTTGTGCAACAATATAGATTAATCTAAAAGTTGTCATCCCGAGCAAAGTCACAACGACACTCACATAGCTGAGGGACTCCATTTGAAGCCTCCACATCAGTGTCTAAAGACAGGAAGCAGAGCAGTGGTTGCTTGTGGAAAGGGAGGGCCGGTGAGGAGTTACAGGAAGTTGTATATGGTAGTGGGCGAGTTCTCTACCTCTCTAGTGGGACTTGTCACACAGAAGGGCACTGGTAATGACAAAACACCAACCAAAAGCAACCCCGGGAAGGAAAGGGTTTATTTGGCTCTCAGGTTACAGTCTATTATTGAGGGAAGATAAAACAGGAACCTGGAGGCAAGAACTGAAGCCGAGACCACCTAAGAACTTTCTGGCTTACTCAGCTAGCTTTTTGATAGAGCCCAGGCCTACCTTCCCAGAAATAGTGCTGCCCATCATGCACTGGGCCTTCCTATATCAATGAAGCAATGCCACACAGACAAGGCCACAAGTCAATCTGATGAAGGCAATCTCCCAACTGAGATTCCCTCTTCCCAGGAGTATTAAGTTGACAAACAAGATTAGGCATCCCACATGGACTTGCCAAAACTCATACGATTGTGCAGTAAAATATAAAGACTTTTAGAGAAACAGATTGTGAGTATATTGCTAGTCATAAAGATACTCAGAGGTGTACATTGTCTAGGATTGACATGACAAGAAGCACTGATTTTTTTTCTCTGTGTCTTAGGGTTTTACTGCTGTGAAGAGGCACCATGACCAAGGCAACTTTTATAAAGGACAACATTTAATTGGGGCTGGCTTACAGTTTCAGAGGTTCAGTCCATTATCATCGTGGCCAGAAGCATGGTAGTATCTAGGCAGACATGGTGCTGGAGAAGAAGCTGAGAGTTCTATATCTTGATCCAAAGGCAGCCAGGAGAAGACTGTCTTTTCTACACTGGATGGATGTTAAGCCTAGGACCCCAAAGCCCACCTCGACAGTGACACATTTCCTCCAACAAGGCCACACCTAACAAAGTTACACTTCCTAACAATGTCACTCCTCGTGGGCCAAGCATTCAAACACATGATTCTATGGAGGCCAAGTCTTTTCAAACCACTATACTCTGAAACATAAATTTAACTCTGCAAATCCGTTAAACTTTGTTTTTAATTACAGGTGTAGGCTTAGATTTTTCACAACCTACTTTATTTTAATAAGGGTTCTCAAAAGTTTGAACACTCCCTCTTGCCCACCATCCAAAGGTAGGGGAGAAAAGATGGATGACAGGACAAGGGGATGTGGACCTGTTTAGAAGCAGTTCTTTGGGGGCAATCTCAATCTTCATTGTCAGAATACCAGCAGTCCAGCTCAGTAGTGTCACCAAACATGGATCAGCATCAGCAACATGATCCAGCAGAAACAACCAGGCCTCTGCTGTCAGCATGAGTCAGCTGGGAGTGATCAGAAACGGCCAGAATGCCAGGAGAAATTCTCTGTCATGTCTCTCTCAAAGAAGTGAAGATCCTCAGACTCAAAACCAATGCAAGCGTGCCATCACTGTCTGTTAGGTCCTACTTATACTCTCTCCAAACATCACTAGTTCCCTCACAGGTCTGCTTCAGCGAAACATCACATGAGTTTGGTCCAGCAAAATATCACATGTGTCTGTGTCACATGACACAACCAGAAATTTCCACTTCATACACTAGTCAACACTCATTCATTTGAGCAACAGATATTTACACTCTGCTGTTTCGCTGAGAGATACAAAAGATAGTGCCTTCTTCTCATGGAGTTTCTATCCCAGGGAGGAAGGGATGGATGAACAGAGAAGAGTTAGCAGGTGGCAGGATTGGTCAGGACTGCAGGAAGTGCCCGTTGGCAAAGGCATCGTTTGAGGAGAGACCCAATCCATAAAGAGCAAGGGAGAGTTGTTAAGTTTGGCAAGGGTCAGGGGATGACAGCAGGTCATGCTGACGGAGTTGACCAATTATATGAGAAAAATGGACTGTTCTAACTCTGCACCCTTCCAAGCCTTGCCCACACCCTAACTTCAAAATGCTCTCAAATTCAACATTCATTGAGTCAAAATACAACCATCACAAGTGGGAAAGCCCCTTAACCTTAGTGTCAGGGTTCCTAATGAAAATGCAGATATCCGCCAGGCGGTGGTGGCGCACGCCTTTAATCCCAGCACTTGGGAGGCAGAGGCAGGCGGATTTCTGAGTTTGAGAGCTCGAGGCTAGCCTGATCTACAGAGTGAGTTCCAGTACAGCCAGGGCGACACAGAGAAACCCTGTCTCGAAAAACCAAACCAAAAAAAAAAAAAAAAAGAAAAGAAAAGAAAATGTAGATATCCTATAAAACCTAGCAGATACTAGTGTCTGCCTGGACAAATACACTGCACACAATATATACATGAATTTTGTGTTGACTTGTGTCCCATCCCATTATGTATATAAAAATGTCACAAAGTCCAGGATCTGAAAGACTTCTTGCTCAGCCACTTGTGGTAGCAATTGTGACTGCCAGCTACCAAGCACGGCATGTTTATCCTTCGACTGTAATCATAATGTTATTTAGTTTATGGTTTTTGAAAGATGACTGGATGTGAGGTGTGGAACGGGAATCAACAGCGATCAAGAGACCAGTTAGGCAGCTACTGCAAAATGATGGTGCCAGATGAAAGAAGACGGCAGTTTGGACCATTGGTCCAGGCGGAATGTGAGGATGGGCAAGGAGACGCTGGCAACTGGCCAGGCACAAGTTTTCACTGATGCGGAATGGTGCGGCTTGCCCATACTTGATGCTTCATGTGGGAGGTAAGAGGGGAAAGGAATCACAGACAACAGCAAAGCCCCCAAGTCAAGGAGATCAAATTCTCTTCAAGTCTCAGAGCCACTGCCTCAAGGAGAGGCTTGGTAGGAAGCTGAGAGTTTGAAGCTGAAACAGTCACAGGTAATGCCAGCGCTCATTCATGCAAATCTCTGGGGCCATACTCAAGAGGTCATTTTGTTGTGACTATTCCTTCGATTAACAAAAAATAAATTACAATGGAGCAATTCTTAGAAGATTAATTTAATCCTGTGAAAGTTAAATTAAAATCTTAATTAAATTAACTGAGACCAACAGCAAAAAGATTGAAATGCAGCCCACAAATTGAAAATAATTCAGATACCTGTGTGTGTGTGTCGCTCCACACCCAAGAGCCATGAGGTAAGGTCTCAGAGGTGAGCGTCTTAAAAAGGTAAAGGATTGGAACATTTTAAGCCAAATAAGGGCTTTTTTGTGTTTTGTTTTCTTTCTTTTTTTGGCATCCTTCACCTCAACTTTTAGAACAATGCATGCTTGAGGACTTTCTCAAGGTCACCTCTGTGCTGAGCTGTCACAGGAGCCAGCCGACTGGCCTAATGCCATGTTTACAGACCAAATTATCCTCTTATTTGTATCAGCACAATTCTGTAGATTATAAACTGCAGTTCCTTAACAGAATTTCAATAAGTTTCTCACAAAACACTCATCTAATGATTTCCCCCAAAATAACCTTCTGCATTTTCCATCCACAAAACAGCCAGCCATCT